TGTTTACATGTTTTAGAACTGGTGCTCAGTTTAGGAGGCAAATAAGAAATGACAGGTATTGAATAAGCTGATCTGCTTTTGAATTTCACTCTCCTCATCAAGAAGACCAGTGATCTTAAGGAAAGTACGATTTACACATGCTCAGAAGAGTATTATTTTATAAGCTCTTTATAGCTCAAAGAACAAATCTGTGTTATAGACCTTCATAATGCCAAAGTTTGTATATAAAAAAACTTTTTAAGAGGCCTTTGTAATACCAAACTTTCAGTGGTGGGTTCCGGATCCTATTGCAACCGGTATGGTGCAATGGGGCCCAGCATCCCCCACATGCACACACGCAGCATGCTCGCACAGACATGCAGCACGCGCATGCGTCCTTACCTCCACAACACCTCCACAATCCTCCAGCTGCTCGGCAGAGTGTCACACAGGCATTGTACGCTCCCTGCATGTGTGCGGAAGTGCCAAAGAGCTCAAATACAGGTAAGGAGCTCGGGCAGGTGGCCGGGCCCTCCGAAGCACCATACCGGAACAGTACCTGGTATTCCCAGTAGGCACTGGTACGTCCGTACTGGCGTACCGCCTGCAACCCACCACTGCAAACTTTGCATCATTGTGTCACTTTGCAGAAAAAGCTTTTTCTATTTTAGACCTTTGAATAATAAAAATTCACAGGCTTGTTATAAAGTGATGGAGAGCAACTTCAGTGAGGCTACTTAGAAGGGAGGTTTCAGATGAGGGTCATACGTGATAGAACTTCATACCTTCTAGTTGTTTGAGTGTCTTGTTGATTTTTGGCATTTCTGAAATGTAATTCTCCCATCCATTATTTAAGAGGAATTTGTGCCCTCAAATCAATATAACTTCTGCAAAATACAGAACCAATCATATTTTCAGACAAATCACCTAGTTCTTAATTTATATGTGTTCTTTATTTTCACATTAAAAATAAGTTCTAGACATATCAAGTGTAAAGAGAAAAGGTATGAAGATGAGGATGAGGATGAATGGCTGTGAAAAGGACATTGTAGCTCCTAATGTGGGTACATAAAGCTATTACATGCCATGGATGTTTCTATATATGGTCATGGTATGATGGATTAATTTTTAGAATATATTCAGTAATATATCTATATCTATATCTANTTTTTTTTTTTTTACAAACCAAGTTTATTGAAAATGTAATTGAGTTCTGTTAAAAATATGAATGTGTGTGGGAATATGGTATGGTATGGCTGATGTACAATGAAGGTAGTGTGGTTGTCTTACAACCACAACTGGGTCCAAAATTTCTGCTGCAAAGGAAAAGAATTGTCAAGGAGTTTTGCCCCATTTTACGACCTTTCTTGCCATGGTTGTTAAGTGAATCATTGCACTTGTTAAATTAGTAACACCGTTGTTAAGTGAATTTGACTTCAACTTTTGTTGCAAGGTCACAAAAGGTGATCATGTGACTATGGGACATTGCAACAATCATAATTATGAGCCAAAGAATCTTGATCACATGACCAAGGAGATACTGCCATGGTTGCAAGGGTAAAAAATGGTGATAAGTCACTTTTTTCAGTGCTGTTGTAATTTGAAAGGGTCACTAAATGTATGGCTGCGAATCGAGGACTACCTGTAAAGAGAGTTTGATATCATTAATCAAATGCAATTAATTAAATTTAAAAACAGGTATGGCTACCCATATTATACATCAAAGCTCTGGGGACTCCCAAACAGTGAGAAAACACAACAGAACAGTACATCCAATATACAAAAAAGGAAAAACAATCATAGTAGACCAAATAACATTCCCCAATCAAAACATAATTGCAGATGTTTGTCTCCAGCCTTACCTGATACCATTGACTGAGGGAAAAGTTAGCTCTTCCATGTCTTCTGGAAGGCTAGAAGAGTGGGAGTTTCTGTGATCCTGGGAAATGGGGAAAGGGTATTCCACAGACCAGAAGACTCTACTACCTAGATCTTACTAGTTGACAATATCTAAGGGAGAGACATGGATCAAGGCTGCTCTATCCAGCCTGGTAGAATAGGCAGCTATCATCAGGGAAAGATCTGTGCCATGCAGGTCTTTAAGAGTAATAACCAGCCCCCTCAACAGCACCCAGAAAGAAACTGGGAGCCAGTGCAGCTCTTACACCAATTATGGGCAAAGTTGTACATGCTGCTGCATTCTGGACCAGTTGTACTTTCTGGATAGTCTTTAAAAGCGGCCCTATGTACAGTATATTACAGGCATTGGACCAGGAAATAGACTAAGAAATAAGTGACTATGAGCAAGATCTCCTGGTCCAGTGTTGGGCAGAACCTATACAAAGGTTCCTAGATGGACTTGCCACCTGCTTGTCAGGAATGGAATGGAGTGGAGTGGAGTCGGGTGGAGTGGAGTAGAGCAGAGCAGAGCAGAGCAGAGCAGAGCAGAGCAG